TTGTCCCCGCCCCGCCCCGCCCCCCCCCCGCAAAAAAAGCCCAAAAACTCCAACAACCTGGCAGCTCACCATGCTCAGTCCTTGTACATTTGCACATCATCTGAGATAATCTGGACCTCACAGTGACATGGGGGTTAAGAAATATGAAGCTTATTTTGGCTCTGTTGTGATTACGACTCCTAGCAGCCAACTTGCCTCTTTCAAAATGTCATTTTTCAACAAAACCCACAAGCTTTAAGACTTTAATTCATCCCAAAACTACATGCAGATGAACAGGCTCCAGCCAGCTCGCACTTGCCATGAAGCCAACATGCTAACAGAGCTCTGTCTTTGCTTTCAAAAACCTCATGACAGGCTAATTAATTTAATAGTCCAGACTTCTCTTTGTTTGGCTTCAATTCCCTTCCCAGAAAGTTTCCCCTAGCTCTTTACAATATCTTGAAACTGGTTTTCACTATCTCAAACCATTACTGTTCTTGCCAGTCTGTCTCCGGATTTTCCGTGTACCAACCTTTTCCATCACCAAGGCAAGCCAGATGTTGGGAGAGAAGAAGAGAGGGGAAAAAAAAAAAAAAAAAAAAAAGTGACAGATCCCTTTGGTAATTCCTCCAAAACCTGGTAAACAGGACATTATTCTGCTGGCAAGAAAACCCTCAGAACAGCTACAGGGACACAATTCAACAGGCTACGTGTCTAACCACAGTACCATGGGGCAAGGACAAACTTTCTGAACCTTGTTTAAGAACAACCAATCAAGCCTGAAAGCATTGGCTTGGGTGAAACGCTCTGCAGTGCACATCTCTCTTCTCTAGTCTCCCTTTTCTAGTAACAGCAACTTTACCACTTTTCTCCATTTTTTTCTTTTTAAAGATCGGAAGCACTGGAAGGCAGGGATGGTCTCTTTTTACACATCAGTAGAGCACTTGAAATCACACTACCAGCAGGCTATGGCATTTTGTGTTCAGTATGAGAACTGGTTAGAATTTCAGCGAAGAGCTCAGAAGTTGCACTGTTTCCCTCTAAATGTGCTACTATCAATAGCAAATCCTTCACTGAGAACATCCAGGAAGTTCATGCAGGAAGGCT